CGCGCTTCCCCCCGGCCTCAGCCCCGGCTTGTCCCCTGCCGGCGAGCAGGGGGTCAGGGCTGCACGATGTCCCCTGCCTGTACCGTGGGGTGGGGGGGCACTGAGAGTAAGCGGGTGCATGGGGCCCACACCGGCAGGACCCAGAGCAGGGCGGCAGGAGTACAGGGGTCCCGGCCACCAGGGGCTCTGGAGCCAGGCCAGCTCCCCCCTCTCCCTGCTGGTGCAGCCCACCCCGGCTCCACAGACCCCTGCCACCCTGCGCCTCACTCTGGGCCCCACCGGTGCTGGCCCTGAGACATTGGTCCCAAGACATTAGGACATTGGTCCCAAGACAGTGACCAGGGGGCGGGGCCCCTGTCAAGGGGCGGGGCTACCCATGCAGCCCTCAACAGCTTGCCGAAACTGGATAAGCAGCCCTCTGCCCAAAATAATTGCCCGCCCCTGCTATACTTGAACACCTTCAGTGATGGAGATCCCAACAATTTCCCTAACTAGTCTATTCCACAGCCTCACTGTTCTAGCAATGAAGAAGTTTTCACTGATATCCCATCTAAGCTTACTTTCCTGCAACTTCAAGCCAGCATGGGCACATATCTACTGGGCACTCCAGGAACTGTCATACTTGAATTTGATGATAAATTTGTTTTCCTTCTCTCTTGGCTAGGAAAACTTATCACCCACTGGATATTCAATACATCATGAACCAAGAAATGTGTGGCCACCATACTCACCATATCCAGCCTAAAGAACAGATTTCTCTGTCCAAAACTGGATCCAATGAGAGTGCATCCACTTAACATATGAACCTGGGAAAGGAAGTAAGATGCAACTGGTTTTCATCTGCTGCTCACATCCTACCACACTGTCAAAGCTGTAATGAGTTGGGGAGACCAGTTTTATCAATCAGTGTGTAGAATATTAATTTTCTGGGGCACCTTAGGCAACCACAAGGATTTAGGACTTATCCTGTTTAATTTGTGGCTGGCTACACTTTAGACCTGGTTTTGGATTG